GCATTCCCCCGGAGGAGCTGGAGGAAGTGTCTGGAGAGAGGGAAGTCTGGGCATCTTTGCTTAGACTGCTGCCCCCGCGACCCAGTCCTGGATAAGCGGAGGAAAATGGATGGATGGATGGATAATGTTTTGGATAATGACATTAAAAGCAGAATAGAGAAACAGCCGGCGGGTCTGTTGGACTGCTGCAGTCAGAAACACTGACTCACAGTATCAAACATGGATATTTATACCAGCTTTGTCTCCACAACAGTGGCAACTCTCCACCTTGTAAATTAGCAGCAGCGCCCTGTGAAATATCCAATCAGCATTTGTACGGTTGATCACCTCAGCAGCGATACCATTTGAGGCAATCACAGTGACTCTGGCAACATCTTCCCCCTGGTAGAAACCCTGCAGTCTGTTGTGATGCTGTAGCTTTGTTTGATCCACAATAGACAAGCACAATAACATCTTCAAACAAAAAACACAAATGACAGCATGTGTAGAGTTTTTTTCTGTTAAAGCATTATAATTACACAAACTCAGGCCCTTTTCATCAGGATATAAAAGTGAGTGATAGCCACTGTTGTAACCTCTCTATTTCGATAATCCAAAAAGGGATTTGACAACGATTTAAACAAAGTCCCAGTTTAGCTTTCAATTGCAACCCACCTCCTTTGCCCACATAACAAAGAAAAAGAAAGTATTCAATAAAATAACTTCAATCGAAACTGGGAAATTGTAGCAAAGTGCAAAACATAGCAGTGATGAACTGTAAGAAATGTAATTATGTGTGAAATAATGTTTTCACTATTGGTTTAGACTTAATTATTTTTATGTTGGTAACAAATTAGACTGGGACATGAAGCAGCAGAGATTAATTTTAGTAGAAAATGTTTTTGTTATCAGGTAAATGGCTTTAGCCTCAAACAATTGCTCTTTCACCTTCTGAGGAAGCTATTTGATAAAGGCAGGTTGAGGTTAACGTGTGGATAATGGGTTTAGAGACTTAATCTAGAATGGTTTTCCTAACCTATCATTAAATGTAACATGCTGTCAATCAGGAAAGAGCTGTTTTAAAAAGTCTGTAGTGTAATATGGATATTGTTGCCTGCTTACTAAAATGGGCTTTAATGGGGAACAGGGATGACCATTAGGCTTATTAGGGTTGTCTAAGTGAAAATGTCTGCATGATTTGACTAGCAGAATTGAGTAAGAGAAGCCTGTCCCATCTCCTTAATCTGTGGTGTCATGCTAATTTAAAGTTTCACCAAGAATAAATTAGAAAAGATGACAAAGGGATGAGTATGGAAATTGTAACCATACCCATGATGATTTAATGTCACATCACATTACTTTTCATGATAAAAGACCAATAACACCAATCATCTGGAAAGTAATTTAGCGGAAGGTCTCAACATAAAAAAAAATCTGTGAACTAGTGGTTCTGAAAGATTAAATAAGCTGTTCCTGGATGAACATTGGCACATCGTCGGAAATTATTTCATTACTATATCACTGGAATTTCTAGCTTTTATAGAAAGTTGCTTATGTTTATTCATGCACAGTCATTTAATTGTTAATGATGCAGTTAGTGATGATATCCTTTGACATGAAACATAGAAATATACACAGA